GTGTGAAGCTAGGTACCTCTTATGTTTGTCACATACTCTCCCCTCTCGCTCCCGCTTCCTCTCCCCCCACCCCTCCCACAAATTTTCTTTATTTTTCTAAATTCTGTGCGGTCAGCCCATACGGTTTCCGGAGGCGCCCAGGACATGAAGAGGTTACTGGACACAGTCTTTGCCAACTACAGTGTCCATGTAAGACCAGCGGTCAGCTACGGCCATCCGACACAAGTTAAGTTCCAGATGTTTCCCAACGCCGTTTTGAGCCTTGTGAGAAGAATGTTGTTGTTGTTGTTGTTGTTGTTGTTGTTGTTGTTGTTGTTATGTGTGTGTGTGTGGTAATCTGTTCGAAATGTTTGGAGCCCCGAAGAGCCTGCTCTTCGCCAAGGCCACCGCCTCTCTTGGGTTGCTGGTGGGGCAGTGCAACCTCCATGAATCCTCCCTGAAGAGATGCCACCGCCGGACCTCCGTGGCGGAGCATCTCTGCACTCAGTGCTCCAAATCTTGGGGCTCCTCGCTGCACAGTGGACAGATTGGGTCCGATGTTTTGTCTATTCTATTTTTGTAGGCCCGCAGCCCAGAGAAGTGACAGGTCCTGATTTTTGCCAGTAGTGGCTGGTCACTGCTGGACTTAATCTGAGCCTCTCGTTTTAAGGAAACTGCCCTGTATATTTCCTTCGTCCGCGTGTTGGATATCGGAGGGTCTTTTGTGATCAGTTTTATCTGGGCGCACGCGCTTTCATATGGAATCTGGCGGCCTGGACCTGGCAGCGCTGTGGCCAGCCAGTTTGGCATTACTGTCTGCGAGATCGTTGCCGAGGATATAGCAATGATCAGGGATCCGCTGAATCGTGGGTTGAGGTGTTGCATTATTTATGCGTTGTCGAATTTGACTGTCAGTGAAGATAGCGACCGAGTTGAATACATCACAGTGTTTGTCGATCAGGTCAATGGCCATTTCTAAGGGTATCCTTTCTTTCTCGAAAGAGCAGGTGAATATGGCGCCTTTCTCCCTCAGTGTCTCGACAACGGTCGGGTTGGACGAGTCCCCCGTTGTGATGACGACCCCGGCGCCGCCATCCGTTATTCCTACATTTGCTGTTGTTGTTGTTGTTGCTGCTGCTGCTGCTGCTGTTGCTGTTGTTGTTGTTGTTGTTGTAGTTGTTGCTGCTGATGTTGCTGTTGTTGTCGTTGTTACTGTACTTGTTACTCCCCCATCTCTTGTCTTATAGCCATATCGTACAAAATATTGGAAATAGTTGAAAAGGCGCTGGTGGTCTGTGCCGTTGAATTTTTTTTTAAATTAGAAGATCCTGATTAAAAGCTCCCCGCTTTCCTTCTCTGTGTGTCTCTCTACCCCCTCTCCCCCTCTCCGCTCTTCCCCTCTCCACTCTCCTCTTTCCTCTCTCTTTCTCGTTCTCTTTTTCTCTCGTTTTATCTATCCATCTCCGTCTCTGTTTCTGTCTCTGTCTCTGTCTCTTTCCTTCTCTCTCTCGCGTGCCCTCTCTTTCTCCGTCCCCCCCTCTCTCTCTCTCCATGACACTCTCACTCTCTCTGTGGTTCTGTATTTGTTATTTTCTCTTATCCTGACTTTCCCTAACGGTATGATGGTCCCGTTGGCTGGGTAACAACGAGGTAACAAAAAGAAGACCCCCCCCCTAAAACAAAACAAAACAAAACAAAACAAAACAAAATGTATCAAAAGCAGAGGAATGCAAAACAACTCACATCAATACAATATACTACCCTCCAAGTCCCCCTTTTCATTTTCCCCATCACCACTGACGTAACCCTCCCCCCCAAAAAAAAAATAAAATAAAGAAAAATTTAAAAACCCAAACGTTTTGAGCGTTAACTCCTACCCCCACCCCCTTCATCTACCTTGCACCCTATCCTACCCCCTATTACTCAACTCAACCACTCATCCTCACAACCTATCCCCACCCCTTATACCAACCCCTCATCCTTTACCTGATATCTGCACTAAACACCCCTTATTCCTTATACTGGGTGCCCAACTCGATCGCCTCAAAAACAAACGTGTTTGTTTTCAGTTTTAGGCGATCGAGTCCGGCGATCGGCCCGATCCAGCTGTAGTGGGCACCCCGTATTAGCCTTGCACTGCGCCTCCCTCTTACCCTACCCCCTCCCCCACCCCGTACTGCCACCTTTCTTCTCACTCATACCCCACACCCCCATCCCGTACCCTTTATCTCCCCCACCCCCCTCCTACCCTTGCCCCTATCTTGCACTGCCTTTCTTTTCTCCACATGATCAAGTACACCCTTATAACCTCTGTCCACTTTTCTTCGTTATTTCATTATCTTACATTACCCTCTACCACTCCCCATTTTATTCCCCAACCACTTCCACTGTCAACCCTTATACGAAATTCTCCATTTGGCTCGATACCATCAGGAATGGATGTTAAATTCGGAGGTCTCGCCTCTGGAAGGGTTATGTAAGTGATCAGTTTTATCTTGCAAAGTGTTTTCAGCATGTGTGATTTTTCACCACGACCTTTGATTGAACATTGACTCTCTTTGTTTGTCTATATATGGAAAGGTGCGCTTTTCTGTTTTCAGAATATGCGGCACCAATATTTACACATCACCGGATTCCTGCGCGTGGTGAGTACTGTAGAGACTTGTGCAAATTGTTGTTTGTAGAGGCCTTTTACTCAAATGCTCGAGAGCGAAAGTAGTAGATCTAAATTATAAATGAAGGTGTTTTAAGCCCTTGTCGGCACAACTGAGATCATTTAGGACGCGGACAGTAAATCTGGAAACAATGCAGGGGGGGGGGGGCATATTAATGAGTGAGCCAGCCTTGTACCCTCAGACGCCCTGCGGTAGGGCTGTACTGAGTTTATCTGGACTGATTTGAAGGGAGGTGAAAGGGGAAACTCACGCGCTAACTCTCTGACTCTTTCTATCTCTTTCTCTGTCTCTCTCACTCACAATCTCTCTCCTTTTCTGTCTCTCTCTTTCTCTCTCGTTCCCAGGCCTGGGTGGACGAGCTACTGCGTTGGTCTCCTGCGGACTACGGTGAGATAGAAGACTTCCTGGTACCCCAAGCTGACGTGTGGAAGCCCGACATTGCATTTGGGCGGTCGTGAGTCCCAAGACATTTAAAATAAAAGACACAGCTTGCAAAAATGCCTTTCCTCGCTTCTTCTTGCATTTGTTTTTCTTCTCTTTGACTTTGACTTTGTAGATTCCCTTTCCCAATCCTTTTTGATTAAAAGCAAAAATTTCTGCCTTCCTTTCCTGCCCTTCCCCCATATATCCTTCGGTCCACCCCACCCCCCTCTCTCTCAATTGTCTGTCTGTCTGCCTGTCTGCCTGTCTGTCTGTCTGTCTGTCTGTCTGTCTGTCTGTCTGTCTGTCTGTCTGTCTG